AATGAATTCTGATAATTAAAGGGACAATTACTACAAACAGACAATTACTCACCCTCAAGCCATCCTAGGTGTATATGACTTTCTTCTTTCAGACGAATACAATCGGAGTTATATTAAAACATGTCCTGGCTCTTCCAAGCTTTATATAATGGCAGTGAATGGGTGTTATTTAATAGTCCAATAGAAGTGTTCCTCGTCCTTTGCTCCTGTAAAGAAAACTTGGTTCTCGCGAGACTAGCATATTCTCACCGGAGCTCACGCTATACCTACGACCCATGTCATCTGGCTGGAATGCCACTTCCTCGTGTACGCGCGTACTAGAGATTACGGTATATATAGTTTTAAATATGGATATTTTTCTTACAGAAACACATTGATTTCGCTGCAGGAGGACGTTATTAACCACCCGGAGCTGTGTGGAGCACTTTTTTATGATGGATTGGCACAGTTTATTGGACTTCTATTGGACTATTGAATAACACCCATTCACTGCCATTATATAGCTGGGAAGAGCCAGGAAATTCTTTAATATAACTCCGATTGTTTTTGTCTGAAAGAAGGAAATCATATACACCTAAGATGGCTTGAGTGTGAGTAAATTATGGGGTAATTTTCATTTTTGGGTGGACTATCTATTCAATACAAATGTTTAACAATAATATTTCAATTAATTTACTTCATATATACTTCTTAATTTTAATAAATGCATATATTTTAAGCATTAATTTGAATGAAAAGTCAAACATATATTTTACCAGAAATAAGGAGAAGGACCAATAAGTTTGAGTGGCTTGATTGCTTTCCTTATGGTGGCTATAGCACTATGACACACTATGAGATATCTGTGTTTGATATACATTATTAATAACTACCATAAATAACAGGTATCATTATATAATATAATAAAATCAACTATATAATTAAATAGTTGATTATCCTAACTGAAGGCTGAATGATTACGGTCACAGGCATACATTTATCAGTATTTAATGACTTCAAACATAGCTCATCTAATCCAAATTAAGATTCAGAACTATCTATTTTTAAAAGTTCCTTTCCCATGTACTGTATTTATTTGAACTTTTCTGTTCCTGCATGTGCTTTGTCATTAGAGAGGTGGCAGAGGGAGAAATTGGCCGGCTGATTGGTGTTTTTCAGTCCCTAGAGAGAACAAAGGTTAAGTTAAATACCAGCACACTGAATTATAGCAGAGCGAGATCTATTAGACAGGCCCCCCTCATCCGTCAAAACTCAGTATGGATGCCAAATGCCGCTGCAACCCTTCCGCTCTCCATTAAGTTCCCAGTACGCCAGGTCCCCAGGCAGGCCACCGTCAGCACTGTCCCTCTGCTGAGTTACAGCTCCCATGAGGCCGCTAGTTCATTTAAAAGCCTTTGTGGGGTGCCATTAATTCTGATAGATAGATATCACTAAACTGCTGAACAAACATCCTACTCAGTCATTTGCATACATTACAGTAATGGTGGAAAAAATAAAGCATTCCTACTGATAAGAGTTGCGCATATGAGCTACTCTGCCAGTATTTCACCAGTTATTTAGATCAGTTTAAAGCAGAGGACTGTAATAACTATACGGCTTTGTATGCTGGTGTATCTTGTATGTATGAAATGCATTTATGTAATGGAAAAACTCCCCATCCTCACTTTGAATGCATTTATGTGGATATTCCAGCAATACAAACAGCACATAATATCCTCCAAAGCATGCAAAAAAAAGAAGGATGGGAAAAAAACATTAATTCTTAGCAGGTAGTGTGAATTATGATGCACAGGGATCTTTAGTACTTATAATATATTAAATAATGTATACAAGGCAGTGGGAGTCGATTTCATTCTTCCATATGCCCATAATGCATCTGCAATTACTCTCCCATATCTGACCTAATACCTTAGACAAACATACTCTCACATATACATGTTCATATTGCAAGAGGGAATTACTGAGCAGGCGGTAATAAAATTAGCTTCCTTTATTTGACTCTAAAAACTAACCCTTATGCATATCAGGAGTTTATTTCTCTCTTGCAACAGTGTGTTTGGTGCATTTCTAAACCGGCCTTGATTTGCTGCCACAATCATTTCTATTTAATGGATCAATATATCAACGGTGCATCGCCATGTAAGCTAATAAATGCATATTTGTTCCAGAGTCTTAAGCACCTTAATGTGACTCTAATATGATCTTCCCATATTTGGTGAGACTTTTTAATATTGCAAAATGTCACCTCCACAGTTTCAGAGGGGTGTGAAATGTGTACTGCTATTATTACATCCAAAAAAAGCTGACTCCTACCTAGGCAAAATTCCTCTACCGCTCTCACATGGCCTCTCTCTAGTTAAAGGCTTTTTATCTCATAAAATTTGGTACATAGTAGTTCATTCTCTCCTCCCATCTCGCTGGCAGGGCTCTAAATCTGCAGTTTGAGCTGCCATGAAAACTGAAAAGAAACAAATGTTCTGCATATGAAACGCCACAATCATATTGTGTTGGGTCTCCCTGGAGCAGCAGAGAGTAAAAAACAAAACAAAAACAGAATAGTGTGATTTCAGGGTAGATTAAATCACATGGATCTCAAGGCTACAGTTCATAAAAAAGGAAGAAATCTGAAGATTCTGACAGTGCCCACCTGGAGTAGTGTGATTTAGATGAGTATCTACAGGCAAAGAAAACACTGTAAACATGGTAACATCTGTCTTTTTCCTCATTCACGCAAATTTCCTTTCCCATCCCGTTTAAACAAATCCTCAACCGCGAGGCTAAAAAGCACATGTTTTTAAAACACTTCCTGCACTACCACTCTAAAATAGCATCTCCACACCGTAGTCATTTGTCAAGGTCACGTCGAGGTCAAACTCATAAAGGAGAGAGCAAGAAGCCTGTTGCTATGGCGAGCAATGGAGTGCATATTGCAAAAAGCATGCGCACACACACACACCCACCTCCACGTTCACAAATTCAATCACTCCCTTTTATAACATCTAGCCTGCTGTCCACAATGGCCGAGTGAAACAGCTTTTGGTCTCCTTTAGCTCAGTGACAATGTCTGCCCTGTCATCCGCAAAAGAGCTGGCGCAGCTGTGTTTGAACGTGCTGTCAGTCAGCATCTCTGCAGCCGAGCTCTGACGCTTCTGAAAACGAGTCGCGACTGGTGCACAATGAGGGTGGAGCCGTTCCCTTTCAGCCACGGCTCTCTCGCTGGCTTTTCTTTCTCTGCTGCTAAAAAAACCCCTCTTGAATCATCAAACGGACGTGACTGTATTCAGCTTCAGCTGTGTGCTGGCTCTGATGACAGATCAGGTGAGACAGGGACGTGATGTGGCTGCATTTGCACTCGGGGCCCGGTTGGCTTTTACAATCCCCTGGGGACAGCACAAGGCCCCAGCACTGCCGCAGTGGATCCGCGCCTCTCCATTTCCCCTCACTCAAGTTCCAATCCTCCCCGAGTCCTGCTAATCAATACTGTCACTAAGGCCACAGAGGTATTCTGGCTTGTTTTTGTGCCGCACTGCAGGCAAGAGCAGCTCATTGTTCTTAAATCATACAAACCTAAGCAGCCCTCTTTGACTCAGAGCAGAGTTTTAATGTGTGCCAGGGCTATTACTCTTATGCCACCCAAAGTGCAAAGTAAGCCCCCATAAATCTCGGCGTTAAGCTTGTGAACAAAGAGCTAAAATAAGGTTAACTACTGTCTTTCCTGTGCTTGGGGAACATATGGGAAGTCTCTCAGACTTGATAAGTCATTGATTAATGGTTCTTACTCGTAGTTAATAACACCGCTGAGGAACGGCAAGAATCACAGTGGGAATATAAAAGGCAGGCCGTCGCTCAGAACCGGCACAAAAGTCAAACTTCCCTAAATCAGCACCATTTTGCAGCAGATCCGCTTTGGCCCGCATAAACATTCACATGTCAGAAAGTAAAGGTCAAACAAGTGTCTAACTTCCTCACTTAGAGTTTGAGAAGTGCTGTGGCATCTAATTTGATTTGAGGGCAGCGATCTCTTGTGTTTCTGTTATTGAAAAGGGAGAGATGCTTTGAGAGCTGATAGCCCTCAGAAAGTTGAAGAGAGGAGGCCTGTGGCTGGTCAGCAGATGAAATCAGCATAGGGTTATAAGTATAGAAGGCTAAGAAGCCCTCCATTAGAGTCTGTGGGGAGAAAGCTGTGCAGTATAAATAGCTCCCAGGCTGAACTCCCTTTGGAGAGCTTGAGAGACGAGGAGAACGCTGATAAACATCTCACTTTGAGACAGCCTATCCAAGCCTATACAGTATTTTTGTCTTGTTTTCCAGTTAAAACATTTAACCATCCACAAAACAAGATAAATTTACTTAAGCCAAACTGTGTGAAAATAAGGCCTGTTTTCAGAGAATATATTTTGATTGTTTTTTTCTTATTCCATGTTTTTTTTCTTGTTGTATAAACCTAATATGTCTTGTTATATTTATTATTAAATAAATTAAATCAAAATATAATTTCTGAAAAGAAGGAAATAATCAATAATTTTGTTTAATGGGTGTTTAAATATACACTGCCATTCAAAAGTCTGAGGTCAAAAATATATATTTTTAAATAAATTAATATATTTATTGAGCAAAAATGCATAACATTTATTTAAAAAATGACAGTAAAGACATTTATAATGCTACAAAAGTTTTCTATTTTTCTTATAATTATAAGAAATGATTCCTGAGCATTAAATAAACAGAATTATTTCTTTATGTGACACTGAAGACTGGAATAATGGCTGCTGTAAATTCAGCTTTGTCATCATAGGAATAAATTACATTTTAAAATGTAATTAAAATAGAAAACTTCAAATGTTTGTAGTTGTAAAACGGAAAACAAAACAAAAATATTGATTAAGAATTATTATTTTTTTTTTTCATAGCTTACTGTGAAAGGGACCTCATTCCTGCACAGAAGCCTACTAAACTTTCTAGCATCGGAGACAGTAGAAGTAAATGTACTCAAAGGATATCGACATTTTTTCAACAAACTTATCCTGCTTGTCTTCAGTCTTGGGGAAGTTCTGGATGTCGTTCTCCAGCCTCTGAATATGCCGTTCCATTGTGTCCAGGCTGGCTTTCAGGATCTGGGCAGATACTGTTAAAGGCAGATTGAAAAGAAACAAACAATGGGTTATGGGTATCCCGCATTAGTTTGTGGTCAAAGATGTTATCCAACACAAGAAACTATTTTTTATTTGAAATGAGTCTTGAGTTTACGAGTTCATGTTTAATTGTACTGAGCCTCAGTGTACTGTTGGGCTTAATTATATGTTATTTTATTTATATATGTATGTATGTACGTATGTATTTGTTTATTTATTTTTTAAGTGTCTCAGTTTTTTCTCCTATACTGTGTAGGTGGTAGTTTTCTGCCTAATTCATACTGTTTGATGAACTCCAGTGCTCTTATTTACAATTCAACATCTTGACAAGCAACATATTAAGTCCAGCTTCTAACACAGCCCTCAGAGATCTTTGGATATGAAGTTTGTTAAACACAACCCATCTTTTTCTGATAAACATATTTATATTATTAATCTGTTAATTATCTTAGCAAAGTTGTATATACATAAGTCAAATGTAATTCAAAAGAAACCATCATATATTACATTTTGTAACACTGATCTTAAAATATACTTTGAAACCCTTTCTAATATTAGGTCACAAAATAAGAAGCTAATAAAAACAATACAAATTCTAAAGCTTTTCAAAGTTATGTAACTGTCCTAATGTATGTATTATTATTATTATTATTATTTTTATATTTTTTAATAATATATATATATATATACATATATATATATATATATATATGTTTGTATTAATTTTGCATTTTTTGTTGTTGCTGTTGTTCTGTTTTGCATGCTTTCTACAGGATCATGTGGCACTGAAGACTGGGGTAATAGCTGATGAACATTCAACTTTACGGTCACATGAATAACTTACATTTTAAAACATATATGTTTTAACAGAAAACCATTTTATTTACATTGTATTAATATTTTACAATATTATTCTTTTAACTGTTTTTTTTATGCGCATAAGAGACTTATTTCCTAAAAAAATCACAAAAAAACTTGCCAACATCAAATTTTGAACAGTATTTTATAGAGCGCCCTGCTGTTTTTTTTTTAGTCTGGTTAGTCTAGCTCCAGGATTCAATCTCTTGTTATTTCCCAAGGTCAGTGCTAATAACATCTGCTTTAACTTTTCCTACTCAACAATAAAGCCAAATTAGGAGGAAATTGGGCAGTAGCAACAAATCTACTCAAAGCACTAACAACAATATAAAGGGTAGACTCTGTGTCATTAGTAGCATGCTGGAGGAAACCAACAACTGGGGATTTACTGTCCCCTAATCAAGGCTTACAAAGCCGAGGTTAACACTCTGTCTGAGGACAGGTCTTGTGAGAGCACAGAATCAACAGAGAGAAAATCGAGCAAGAGGGCAAATGTACAAGTTTACGTTTTTTCAATGATGCTACAAGCTTGTCAGGATGGCTTTAAAAGCTAAAACACTGTTGGTTTAAAATATTCTGATGGCATGATTTTTATAGGGGGTGAATGAGAGAATTGTGGGCAGACAGATGATGGAAATGGATAGGCAAGATAGCGTGGTGTGTGCCTCTCTGGACATGGTACTGTGGGAGGAGCAAGAGTGAGGAAAAAGCCAGCTCTGAGTTCAGCTAATAACAGCACTGACTCGCTCATCTCACAGGCCTCGCCACTGATGAAGTGTAAACACCAGGGAACTGGTGAAGAAATCTCAGCTCGAGCATGCATCTTTTGGAGGTAACGGCAAGATAATTTTCTATTATTTAAAGAAATTTGAAAAAATGGTTCCCACAAAAATCGCTATGATGTTACAGGAATTAATGATATGTTTGATCAAATAAATGCAGTCAACATTAAAAATAACTTTTTACTGACACCAAACTTCTGAACAGTAGTGTAATTAATAAACATACTTATGATTTAATCAATACCAAATAATATATAATTCAATCAGAACCAAAAATCTAGAAATAAAGATCTAATAATAAATTAAAAAAGCCTATTAGGGTGCCACCGCTTTATGCCTGACAGGCTGATCATTAGCTAATTAACATGCTAATGCCTAACTCTATTGAAATCACCTGAGTGAGTGAAATCTCATGTGCGGAGCACAACAAGTGTGGCACGCAGATGTAATCAATCGTTTCTGAGGTTCCATCTCTGTTAGGATACTGACTTAGAAAGCAGCTCCCTATGTACTGTAGGATGCTCTCTATGGGCCTGGCGCAGACCCCTTGTTAACCACAAAAGTGGTTTAGGACCACACAAACTAGAGAATCTATGAATAGATACTTCACTTCCCAATGTGAGCACTTAGGAAATTAATTGCTTAGTTTAATTACTACAATAAATAGGATAATGCCACGGTGTCCAGTACAATCAGGATTTTGAACGTTATTATAGCTATAAAAAAAGTTGGAGTGGAAACAGTGTGTGGTACTGTGTGTGAAAATTAATAGAAGAGGAAAATGTTAATATTTCTTTTGATGTTCCTCCGAAACTATGGGCTCGTTATGGGTCAGTTTCTGCTTTTCAGCAATAAATTTGTATGTCTCAGAAGCAGCTTTCCTCTTCTTAATAGAGAGCCCTGCTGGAAGCCCAAGCAGAATAAAATAGGCATCCTTTTGGGATATCATTAGTAAGATTAACAACAAAATAACACTGTTTACAGGGGACCAGTACTGCTGCATTAATAACTTGAACATGCTCATTTCACATGATCTGGAGGGGAGGGGGAAAAGATAACCCTGAAACAGATTCCCTGTCTTATTCGTAGTAACCATTTCTGGGACGTAGCAATTTAAACTAATGACTGCTGTCTGTGCACTTAAAAGTTTTTAGAATTGTGTGGAAAAACAGTATGTCCAGCTATAGACAGCCTCTAAAAGCTGCCAGGGCTGAGCATATCCACAAACTTATAGAAAATAACCAAAACAATCCAAGGTTTTTATTTAGCACAGTGGCTAGATTAACAAATAACCAGACGCAACCCGATCTAAATATTCCCTCACAGTTTAATAGTAATGACTTTATGAATTTCTTCACTGATAAAATAGATAACATCAGAAATACAATAACAAATGTAGATTCTACAGCGTATAATACTTCAGCTTAATTTATCGCACCAAAAGACAAAATGCAGTGCTTTACAACTATAGGACAGGAAGAGCTAAATAAACTTATCACTGCATCTAAACCAACAACATGCTTGTTAGATCCTGTACCCACTAAATTACTGAAAGAGTTGTTACCTGTAGCAGAAGAACCGCTTCTCAATATTATTAACTCGTCGTTGTCTTTAGGTCACGTCCCAAAAACATTCAAGCTGGCGGTCATTAAGCCTCTTATTAAGAAACCACAACTAGATCCTAGTGAACTGGCAAATTACAGACCCATCTCAAATCTTCCTTTCATGTCTAAAATTTTAGAAATACTTGTGTCTGCTCAATTGTGCTCCTTCCTGCAAAAAAAATGATCTCTATGAAGAATTTCAGTCAGGTTTCAGGCCCCACCATAGCACAGAAACTGCACTTGTTAAAATTACAAATGACTTGCTTCTTGCGTCAGACCAAGGCTGTGCCACATTGCTAGTTTTACCTGATCTTAGTGCTGCAGGGTCTGTTTAGTTGCTGGAAGACCTCTCTTAGGGGGACCGTAGCACACAAGCAACTGGTCCACCCTTCTCCACAGGGCAGCTCTGTGGACGTATGCATCCAGTGCTCGCACTGGACACATACAATTAAGCTTATGCTGGTCTGTTCCCCCGAAGGGAGGATGACTGAAGGCCTGAAGTACGATGGGCTGCGGTGCTGATGAGGGGACTTTAGGGACATACCCCACACGAGGGTACGGAAATGCTTTGGCCAGACCGGGCACAAAGTCAAGATAGGAAGGGGCCACAGAAAGGGCCTGTAAATCCCTAACTCTCTTAAGAGAAGATATCGCCAGAAGAAAGGTAGTCTTTATTGTAAGGTGGCGATCAGAAATTTCTTTGATAGGTTCAAATGGAGGCTTACAGAGAGTTTCTAGCACCACTGCTAGGTCCCACGTCAACAACCTCAGTTGAGAGACCAGAAGCTACTAGTTGTTCCCCATCAGGGGCCACACCCATAACTTCCACAGCTCCGGGCGGGGGTGATAAATCCTGCCCTCTGCCTATGAGAGGAGGTCCCTCCTGACGGGAATCTCCCACGGAGAGCCGTCGAGAAGGGAAATCAGGTCCGAGAACCATACTCAGCCTGGCCAGAACGGGGCCACTAACAGTAGACGGACTCCGTCCCGGCGCACTCTCTCCAGAACTTCTGGGAGCAGAGCGATCGGGGAAAGGTGTACAGACGAAGCCTCGGACACATCTGTACCATGGCATCCAACCCCAGTGGAGCTGGATGAATCAGAGAGAACCAGAGGGGACAGTGCGATGTCTTCTGAGTCGCAAACAAGTCCACCTGAGCCTGACCAAAAATACTCCATATCTGCTTCACCACCTCGGGGTGAAGCATCCATTCCCTGGGCCTCAGCCCCTGCCTCGACAGGATGTCTGCTTCCATATTGAGATTCCCAGGAATGTGCACTGTTCTCAGCAAGAGGAGTCTGTCCTGGGACCACACAAGGATCTGGTGTGCCAACTTGTACAAGCGGCATGAACCCAGACCTCCCTGGTGGTTGATGTAAGCGACCACCGCTGTGTTTTCGGTGCGCACCAACACATGGTGACCTCTCAGGTCTGGGAGAAAGTGTTTCAGTGCTTGAAACACGGCCAGCATCTCTAGACAATTGATATGCCACGTTAGATGGTGACCCCTCCACAGACTGCGGGCAGGGTGGCCACTCATGACCGCACCCCAGCCGCTGAGGGACATCTCTGTCGCTAGCATCACGCGGCGACAAAGAGCTCCCAGCACCGGGCCCTGAGCCAAGAACCAAGGTTTCCTCCACATGTCTAAGGCACGTAGGCATCTCCGCGTGACCTTGAACATGCGAAGTGGGTTTCCCCTCGGGGAGAACCCCCTGGTCTTGAGCCATCACTGTAGGGGCCTCACG